CTCTTTGAAGCATAATAGCTACACTGACAGGATCAGAGAGAGACTGAGAGAGGAGTGGATGATGAGTGTTGAATATATCAATAGCCAGTACTGAACACGTACTATGTTCTACATATAAATAAAATACACACACAGTCAATACTAATACAATCAGTGATATTAACTTACTCTCTTGATCTAACTTATCAGCTGCAGCATTCTCATTCATAAATTTAAGAGCATCTGACAGTGAGTCAAAGGTAGCTCCTCCTTTACTGTCAACATTATCAGCTCTACGCAACCATCTGGCAATGCATTCAATAAAACGATCCTCTACTTTTGAGTAGTTTTCTGCAATAGCGTCCAGTGAGTCCATGAGTAGTCCTAGTGTCAGTCCTAGTTCCTTCCATCTCCTCTGAGGGAAACCACATCTCTTCAACAGATTAAGTACATCAATAAGTTGCTCTAAAATCATATTCAATGATACATAGATAGTTAATGAACATTACCAATAGTCAAAGGAGAAGAAAAGAGACTCAGGGAAGAGGAACAAGAACTGGTTTTAGTTGCCATTGATCAAAGAACAAGCTATAAACAGGATGCAAACTTTGGAAGGAATAGCAAGGGAGGGGCTCGTTTGGGGCGGGGGCAATTATTTTTGTAAAACCCTCAATATGGTGGCACTCGGGTGGCATTGGAAAGGACAGATCATGATGGACTCATTGGACTGACAGGGAAGAGAGAAATTTGATGATGAATATGATGAAGTTACTAATGACAGCAAAATAACAGATGAAGTAGTTTAAATGTACCTGTACATGTATACTAATACATGAATTTTAGTCAAATTGTGAAATACATGTATGATATGTCCTGTACCCGTACCTGTAAGGGCACCATCAAAGTTTTTGTCTTGGACCCCACATAACCTATTGGCAACCCTCCCTGTAACAAATAACTATGGACTGTAATAGATGCTTTTTCGAAAGAAATGGTTTTGAAATTATTTCGAATTTTTGTTACATTAAAAAAGTTAAAGTCGATTCGAACTAAAATTTTGAGTTATGTCCATTTAAACAAATGAACCAATTAATATTATTACATCTCATTGTTTTTATTGTATTTTAGGAGTTTAACGAGAGCTTTGCTGATAATCATCAAATTATAAAATGTACATCAAAAGTAAATATACATATGTACATGTACATGTAATCCTTTATCTCCATGTCTCTCACTATTTAGAGTGTTGATAGAAAATATGTGTTTCATTTACCCGACACATCCCAGGGACTCAAAGTATCCTGAGGTACGTTATTCCACTCATCATCCTGCCCCTCCCCCACCTCCTCTGGTCTCTTGTACAGCTGTGTGTTTGGTACCAATACAACAAGGTTAGGACACACAGTCAGTGTATGTACGTGTACATGTTTGTCTTTTTATGTTTTATTTGCCAAATTTTAGCAAATT